GCCGAAATCAGATGTATGATTTACCTAGATCAAATTTGGTTTTACACAACAGGTAAATTATCCAAAGGATTGGTTGATTCCAACAAAAACTGTCAGACAATGGAATCGTATTTTATATTAGTACCAATGAGATTTTATATAATATTTGATCTTTATATTCTGAAAACACCTTAAAAGTCGGTCTTTGATGCTCTTTCCTACAGTACTGTCAAGTTATTTCGATAATTGCCGGCAAAAGCCAAGACCATATACTTTGAGACAGACAGCTAGGGTTAGATTTTTGAAATTTACTTACCACTTGGGTTCTCATTGCGGCTTTCAAGATTTTTATAAACGACTACGTAAAAAAAATTATTGAAAAACTCAGCTTTTTTAACGTAACTGACAATAACAAGAAATGCCAACCGACATATTTCTGAAAATAACCAGGTTATTAATTGTGAGTTCTTAGGTTGGCAATTTTGATTTTTGGCTGGGATTTCCCTGATGTTCGCTTTCGGGTGCGCCGGTTTTATCAAATAAAATACGCGGAGCAATAACGAAAGACACAGCGATTTTTTCGTCTTTTCGCGGTAGCGTTCAGCATTCGCGAACACAATTCGATCACGTTGTATTTGCGTAGGGCCAACATTGGACTCGGTTTAAAGTGCATTTCGTGTGTATATGTGTTGTGGAACTTGATTCTTGAGTGTAATTCGTAGACAGTCAAAACCTAACGGAAAATTGTGTTTCTAGTTTGTACGGAAGTTGCTGAGGCAATGGTCCGACGAAATCGGATATTTATTACTGGTAAGTTTTTTATATTTGATGACAATTTTTTACCCGCAATTATAATCGAACCTAATCGAATCATATTTGATTTCAGAATTGACGGCGACACGTTCATAAAAACAGGAAATCGAAGAAGTTTTAAAAGAGTTTCGGACTCGCTGGGAGTACTTAAAAGGTCACCATGTTCATCCCGAAAGGAAAATTAAAACGTTTATTATTATGTTTCGTTTACTTTGGAACTCGCTAGATGGTGTATCATTAATCATCAAAAAATATTTACTACTATTGGGCGGTGGCAAAAGTAAAAGTAAAAAAGTAAGATCTTTTAGTGCTATTTCTAACAGTGGACTTATCTTCGGACTCTCAGTGCTAATCAATGCACTCCCTGCTCTTTGATCCATGTCGTTTCATGTTAGCTTAAAGTGACCCCATATTTTTCGAAATGCTTAATTATAACTTCCTAAATCATTGCTAACTAAATCTTTATTATTGATCTTTATTATTTGGATTTAGACATCGTCAAAAATAGCTTCACAAAGTTATCCTAAAAAGATAACAGTTATATAAATGTTATATAATGTTTTCGAACGCACAAATGTATAATTCTAATCCAAAAACGCATTAATATTATAAAAACATTTTTGTTTTAATGTTTTAATGCTTTGGTCCTAATAACTAAATTAAATAAATCGCTAACCTCGAAATCAGAAACAGAATAATTGTAAAAGCTAAGGTTGGTTAGTTTTAATTAATCTTTAAAGGCGATTCACCAAAATACTTTTTGAAATAGGCTTTAGTATCCTGCATCAAATTTCCTTACTTATAAGAAATTTCGAAAATTTGTAATTTCCTTTACAACAACCCGTTTCTTGACGTGTTGAGTTGAAGTGAAAAGTTAAAAAGTCCGATAAAAATTAGAAAATTTCTGTTGAAGGTCCAAGGTATCATAAATTATATTCCAAATCTCTTTGTTGGAATTTTAAGAATATTTTTTAAATTAAATTGCAAAATTAAATATTTAGATTTTTCGATTAGAAATACTTAGACTGTCTGAATTGAAATCTCCTAAAGGTACTATTTGACTAGTGGACTTATCAAACCAACCAACTAAAGGACTAAATCTTCGAAGATCTCGATGCCAGATGGCGAGCTGCAACACAGATAAATGAAGGAAAACCTATTCACCACATATTTCGAAAAATTTGTCATGATAAAAACTTTTTATGTTTATTGCTTCACATTTTAAATGAAGTTTTGCCCATAAACAAATTTTTCTTGTAAAATTCTAGAAAACTGCGATTTTACAGAAAAACTAGGACGAAAAAGTTCTCATTCATGACCAGTTTGTAAACTGTTCGTCGACGTCATGTATTGCATTTTTGGAAAGCTGATAACTGGCAGTTTTTCATGATATAACGAGAGTTCCATTTGCTTTTCCACAACGTTTTCGGAGTTTTGTTTTTAACTTTTAATTATCAATCGGCCTAAAATCCTACAAAGAGAGGAGCCTTTTGTGAGCTGGTCCACCTTGTATTTGCTTGAAGCTAGATATATTGAGCAAGATTTTTTAGACTTTCATTTTCAAATTTTGCTTCTTAATGTGTTTTAGTGTGTTAAATTTGTCACCTATATTCCGTCCAAATATCTAAAAGTCTTTATTTACCGAGGACCAAAAGGTAATTTTTAACACGTAATGCCGATTCATAATTTTTTAATAACATTTTTTCCGTCTAAAGCAAACTTTGAGCAATCTCACAGATATATTCTACGATGAAGTGTATTTTAGTATATAACATTTTATTTTATAGAAATCGTAGCGTCAATTAATTATAGAGTACAGACATATTCTAAATGTTAGGTTGTATCTCTGCGTACGAAGCACTTTTAGATGATTATTGTGCACTAAAATTATTTTATTTGGTGTTTTACTCTACTTTAGTTATTCGTGTATAATGTTATTTGAATTAATTAATCAGTAAAGTATTTGTTAAATTAATTATTGCAGACTAGATTAAAGATTTTCTGGTGTTTACATGGTTTGCCCGTTTTAGAGCATAAATAAAGCAATCAACAAATCAAAGTTGTGTTTAATTTCCTCCAAAAGTAATAAATTTTAGAAAGGAGAAATAATTCGCTCGAATTGGAAGAGATTTTGGAAGAATATTTTGGCTGGTGTAGAGGAGAGAAACTTTCCATTTCAGTTCAGATCAATTATATGCAAAAAAAAACATACCCATTTGTTCTCAGAAATTGAATAAGAGAGAGCTCGTGATTCAGTACATTTGCTTTTTGTTCATATGGGGAAGAAGAAAACAATAACAATACCTATATAATTGTATAACATTTCAACCGTGTTAGCAGCAGGTAACTAATTGACAATCTTGACATTTTAGTAACTTAAAACTGCTTGTCGTAGCATTACTAGAGCACAGATAAGAAAAGTATCAAAAAGCGCATACGAAATAAGACCAATTTATGATTTATGATGAATGTTTAGTTTTATACCAAATATCTCCATAGTTTTTATCACTACTTAAATGATATTGTAGCTCCCTACCGTCGCTAATGAAGCTAATCTCATAAAATGCCAATATGGGCAAGCTTGATCGGTGCACAATTGGATTTTTTGGAAAAGAGAATAGAAAAACATTCCATGTCTGATAGATTTTGATTGTACATATATAGACCACACATACCACACGTGCCATATTCAAATTATGGTAGTTTTTATTTTCTGACGTATATATTGGGAACATGGATTAGGTAAGATTAGCAGCATCACCAAAAGCTGCAGATAAGGTCTCGTTAATTGAAGCGGGAGCGTCAGAAGAACACCTCTTTAATCTCGAAGCCATGAAACGCATTAAGAAAGCGATATATCTGGTTTCATGACGTTCATTATATCAAATAGAGAAGAAAGATAAAAAATGCGTTTTAGTTGCTTTATGTTATTTTAATGTTTAAAATATAGTACAAATGTGTACAATGGTCTAGAATCTAGAAATTAATACAAAGTCGATTTTAATGAAAGTTTAATTTATTACTCCGCTTCGTGTCGTGGACACGAGAACAGAAGGTGCTGCACCTGCAGTATAGATTATATTATTAGCACTAAATAAAAAAATCAATAAATAAAAATTGTTTTTGATCAAACAAGGTGTTAAATGGGTACTTGTCGTGTAGATTCAACAGTGCAGATGCTAGCTATTTCAATTGCATTGGCTTGAAAATGAATACCTTAACATAAAAAAGATTTGAAAATTTTTAACCTGCCCCATCTTGTAGTACTTAGATTCTAAATAAGGTCCCTATTCTTATCGAAAATTATTTCAATAAGATTCACCTATGTGTTTTTTGTTGGAGTCCATGTTTTCCACAAGACGTTCGTTTGTGCGAATGAAAAAAGTGCCAATTTTTTCATTCTTACAATTTCATACCAAAACAAATTGTATCACACGAAGCACCCTGTTACCATTTTTACAACCTTTTATGGTTTTGACTTCGGAATGAGTTTAAGACCCGCCTGTTGTAAAGCGGAAGCGACCATTTTCCACAATCCAGGGCAGTGTTTAAGATATTAGCCGACAAGAACTGTGCATGGATTAAGAAAAATGGAGGAATCTCTCTCCACAAATCCGTCAGCTTTCAGCATTTGTATATATTCACGAAGTACCGAAGCGCGGTTCTGGAACGCCCTTGTGGAAATGCGAATCTATTAATTGAGAGTTACAAGGGGAAAGCCAAGCGAGATAGGCCTGCGGTTAGTACTTCATAAAAATTGACCAAAGTTAAATACCGGATTATATCGTAAGAATGGTATCTTTGGGAATTCTCTACCTCGCTTTGCTATTCAATAATTGATTATTTAAAAATAATACATACATTATGATCTCACAGACTAACTCTGGTAACGACGGTCAACCTATTCAAGGGTTTTCGCAAATAGTGTTTCTATTAATTTGTCCCTTTTTCAGCATCAAATAACTTAAACCAGTGTTTACAGTCCGTCGTTTTAATCCTTCTAGTAGAGGTCGTGTTGGTCAGACTAGTCGAAAACATTGTATTATTTTTCCTATATATAAAAGTAACAAAAATGTTAAAACCACATTCTATTTATTCGCGACATTTCATCTAATAGCAAACCGTTCCATTAGTACAAACTTAAAATATGAAACTAGTTTAAATCGCAAATGCCTACCTACAATTTTGGTCAAGGTTTTTCATTTCAGGACACTGAGGAAGATAACACGTGCCTGGACGATTTTCAAGAATGCATCGAAGAATTCCAGGAGTGTCTTGATGCCGTGCACATCTGCATCGACGACGATTACTCGTTCAATCATTCATCTTGCACATCGCGAGCGGAGGATCTCGGCCAAAAAAACGATTTCGTAGATAGTGCGCGCCTGAATACCAAAGACAGGGATAGTAACGCGTGCGACAGTGACCAAGACGCGAGTTTTAAAAGTACAAACGACGTTTCAGACAGAGCTAAACCGAACGACGACGAAACTATTTTAACTAATAGTGTCAATAAATTAACCAAAAGCAAAAATCTAACTTCTTCGGACTGGGACGGTTACGAAACATGTCCGAACGAAGAACATTTTGGCATAAGAGATTCACCGCGGATAACCGAAGTACAAATAAATGTAGTCGATAGGGGGCGTTCTAGACCCGACGATTTAACTCCGACCAATTCTAGGTTAAATTTGACTAGCCAAATTCACAAAGACTTATCTAAACCGCGTGCCAAAGACGTAATTTCGGAGCCTTGTTTACACGAAAAATACGTCCGTTATACTGGACGCGTTTGCTTAGCTTCGACTCTTGAAGACGATTTCAAATTGTACGATAACCGGGATGAGTTTTTTCTAATCCAGTATCCGAGCGACGATGGAACGACGGCCGATGAGGTTTGCAAGAGTCTGAGCGTGCCGAATGTTCTCGAAACCTACGAGATACCTGTCACCGGAAAATTAACATATAAACTGCGGGAATACTACAACGATTACGAAAACTGCCTCGATTCGTGCGCGGGATGCGACGAAATGAGCGATTCTCAGATTTTCAACGAGATATTTTTGCCTTTTAAGAGCAAATCGGCGCCGGACGTCACATACGGGTCTTTCGTTACATTAACTTACGATCCAGGGCCCGGTCACGCTAGGAGAAAGTCCGCTTTCGTTGCGGGATATCCCTATGATGAAAGGTGAGTTATTGTATGTTTAGAATTACCTTTTGCAGATGTCATTCCAAAAATTATCCCAGTCAAGACCAGACAAATATTTATTTCCATTGACTTTCAACAAAGTATAGAATAATGTCATATAATCTGTGTTAAAATTAAATAGGTATAAGCTCAGAGGCGTTGCAATTTAGATATTCATCTAAAGCATGAAAAGCATTTTTTGCTAAATTATTTTTAAGTACACTTTTAAAGGCACTACTTTTTTAAAAAAATTTACTCCCGGTGGGAAGTTTATTGTTATAGAGTTTAACTGGTAGAACCGTAGTTAAAGTCTGTTCATAGATATAAGAAAGTGACTAACTATACGAATTAAGGAAAGACCCGGGCAAGCTCTAAGAATGAAATATGGCCGAACAGGTCCGTACTTTGCTTAAAATTTAATTATTTGGGGGTTTTGTTAGGAAAGATACTAAACAATATTTATTTATTTGTGTATGTATTTATGTTTAAAACTAAAATAAAATTACAAATTATTTTTATTAGCTACTTAAATTACTTAAAATTATTCACATAATATATCAGTATCACTATCGCGCTATCATCGGCTGTTTTAATTATTATTTGTTCTATATTATTTACAATACGGATATACGACTGTTCTGCTTTTTCTATATGTTTAACAGAATTTACCCAACTTTGTGGAGGTATGTTAGAAACTTCGGTTTCTATAAGTTTAAGGACATTGGAGTCAACACAGGGAAAAACATTGTTACGGCGAATGACAGATTTCAGTAAGGTGGAGGAAGCCTTAAAACTCTATGCCTTAAATTTTATGCATAATTATAACAGACGTATTCCTTTTGTAGGTTTAGGCTTTGTAGAAAGTAGAGAAACAAAGGGACTTCGACCCAACATAACCTCACTTTTTTCTTCTTCTTCTTTTTGCGTCCTGGCCGTTCGCCCATGGGCCGCTCGCCCATTGGTTGTTTGCGCATTGGGCCGCTATGGGTCGTTCGGCCATCGTGGTGTTTGCCAGCGGGCCACCCCTCCCGCGCGAGCGCCCCATGGGCGAACGGACCATGGGCGATCGGCCCGTGAACGGCCAATGAGCGAACGACCCGTGGGCGATCGGCCAGGATGCAAAAAGAAGAAGAAAAAAAAGTAGGGTTATGTTGGGTCGAAGTCCCTTTGTTTCTCTACTGTAGAACCTCAATTAATTGCTTTTGGTGTAATCTTCGTGAAAATAAATGTCGTTATCATACAAGTAGTTTTCGATTGTTGCTTTTGTGTCACATGAGGAAGGGGTTTTAGTCAACTGTCTACTGTGATAACTTGCATTGTTCATTACAATGACGCTATTAGGAAGAATATTTGGAACTAGTTTATTTCTTTAAAGCCAGCATGCAAAATAGTTATCCTTTTACCTCTTTTTGATGGCTTTTACACTTGTCAGTTGAGTGAACCCATCACTTTTCAGGGGTATTATAAGTGTCGAACCAGGTTTCACCCAAGTAAATAATTGGCCTTTGTTGTTCTTTGTAAATCCTAATTTTTCTAGATATTCCAGTCACCATTTCCTAATTCTAATAGATTCCATTAAAACTTGTCTTTGGTCAATTTTTTTAAATCTAAAACCCATGTATTGAATACCATAAGGTAGTTCTGCCACATTTAACACCGGTTTCATCTTTTTCAAGTCTCCTAATTAAGATATCTAATGTAGGCACGCTTTGTTCCTCGTATAACTGGTAAATTTTACGCTGTATTATATCTTGATCACTTTCATCTACACTCGAGAAAATGTCAGCATCGCTTCTTTTTTTTTCTCGCTGAAATGGGATTATTCACAATTTTTCATACAGTTGATGTTGGAATTTTCGTCAATGTGGCCGTTTCTTCTAAAGATGCTTGCTTACTGGCACCACGTTTGATGAGAGTCAAATAAACATTCTTTATAACTTCTTTAGTCTCAGTAGAATAGTGTTTTCTACATTTGGGCGGGAGCATCTCCAGAGATACACTAGACTCGCACATATTTTGCATAATTCGCACACGTTTCAACAGCCGTTGTATTACACACGAAATTAAAATGATTACTAATAAACTTAAACTAAGAACCTTAAACTAAACCAAAGAATATTAAACACAGGTAGGTACAAAATTGTTTTCTATTACGGACCACAATTTTACTTGAATTTAAATTCCGAAACATTGTTGCATTGTATGCTAATGACCGCCCTTGGATAATTCCATTCAAAAGCAATTGGTCACTTTCTTATATCTATGAACAGACCATACCTTAGGCAGCTTGTGCCTAGGTAACATCAAATTTAAATTGACCCTAAAATTATGTTGACCGTTTCTGGATTTGGAGTAATCTGATATATTAGTTTTATATGGGTAAACGAAACTAAAATTTAATTTAGGAAATGATGTTTTGTATCTGGCTTGAACAAAATAATTCTCAGTATTTTCTTTTGTGCTCTGAACACCTCACCGCCCCTGACACAGTTACCCCAACACACGCTGACATATGACAGCAGGATGTACGTAGCTATAATAGTAAAGTAACAAAACACATACGCATAAACTAACAGTTTCTGAAGTACTGCATCAACCTGATTAGTCCACGTAAAGCGTTCCTCAATAAAAACTCCCAGATATTTCACAACTCTGGTATGTTTAACCGTTTTATTATTTAATTTAACAAGAATACTCTTATTTGAATCTGTCAAGCTAAAAAGCATCATTTTTGTTTTCTTCTTTTTCTTCTTCTTCTATATTAGGCACTTCGGCCTGTTTTACTTCAATGGCATTTTTATCACAAATTGTCTCCTTTTTCGTCGGCGTCCTATACTCCTTCGACCGGCAGGCGATTGATCTCTTGCCGTCCTCACTATCCGTTGTTCAGACATTCTATCTATATGTTGATTCAATTTTTGCTTTCTATTTCTTGTTCTGGTGTTATTGTTTTCAATTGTTGTGTCTTATGTTTTCACTTATTTCTCGATCTCAGAGTGTTTTCCCTGCTATTTTCCTTAAGGTTTTCACTTCATTTGTTTCCAGGCATGAGTCTTTGATGTTTCCAGTCTTGTTTGCGCGGTATATGTCATGACTTGTCAAACTGTAGATTTATATTGCGAGGTTTTGTATTGGTTCTTAAGTATTTATTCTTTCATATCGCGTCGTTTAGGCATCCTGCTATTCTATTGGCTTTTGCAGTTCTCATATGATAATCTAATTGCTAAATAGTTGATGTTGATTACCTGCTCTATGATTTGGTTATCAAGTTCCAGCTTACATCTAATTGGTTTTTTACAGATTACTAGTGATTTAGTTTTTTTGGCCGATACTTTCATGTTAAAATTCTTTACATTTATATTAAACTGATGCAAATCATCTTCATTCTCAGCTATCAATACAGTATCGTCGGTGTATTACCAATTTTATAGCCTTTTTTGTTTTTACTTCTCTAATTATTTCGTATAATATAATATTAAACAATAAAGGGCTAATACCTGTAGTTACTATCGGCTTAGTTAGCTCTGAATTTACTCTTGCTACTATTTTATTTCTTTTGTATATATTTTCGATTAGTTTTATTATATCAAAAGGGATATTTCTGTTATAAAGTATATGTATCACGTAGTGTAGCTGCGCTCTATCAAATGCTTGTTCTACTAAGTCTACGAAGCATAAGAACACTGGCCTATTGTACTCAATTGATTTTTCTATAATTTGTCTAATTACAAATACTGCGTCATTACAAGATCTTCCCCTTCTAAAATCTTGTTGTTCTTCAGAGGGTATTTTGTTGGTAATAATTTTTTTGTTGTCAGTTTCAAAGTCTTTCGGTATTAGCGATCTTCGTATTAACTTGTTTATAAACGCTGTTAGTTCTCTAATTAGCTTAGGACCTCGGTACTTAAATAATTCATTCTGTATTCCATCTTTGCCAGCCGATCTTCGGTTTTTTAATTTCTTAACTATTTATTTCTAGTATGTCATCTCTTACTATATTCAGGATTTCTGGTGTTAAATTCTTCGTCGTATTGTACAATTGTTTTAAGTGGTTTGTCTATGTCTCTTTTTCGATATACTTTACCTCTATCAATTCTTTCATTTCTTGTCGTTGTCCACGTATCATTCTCCAGGTCTCCTTTTGCAAACCATAAAAGTCGTGTTCCATATCTTTTGAGAATATTTCGCAATGTTTTGTTTTTTTTTCCTTACCAGTGTGTTTGCTTCGTTGCGAATTCTTTAATATTCTCCTGTTTTTGTAGACTTATATTTGAGATAGGCTCTTGTTTTCTGTTGACGTTTTAGTTTTACTTACTCACAAAACCAAGGTGTACTTTTTATTCTTTTTGATGTTCTGTCGGTTTTAGGTTTGCCAAACGCTTCTTTTGCTGCGTTTTTGATTTTGTCTCGAATCCTTCTCCAGCTATTCCATCTTCTTCTATTACTGAGTTTTAGTTTATTCTGTTCTCCAATCTTGTTTCCCAATCTTTTATGTTAGTTTTTTGATGTTTGTTTATTTTCATTCTAATTTCCCCTAAAAAAAGATTGTGGTCACTTCCTAAGTTAGCAGAACATAAACATTTCTGTTTCCGATTCATTTAAAGCAAGTCAATTTTCATTGCAAAAGTTATCATTTTATTTACCGCACAGAATGATATTTTGGATAAAATATCTAAAGTAGCATTTGAGGTTGTGACGAACCCATTGTCCGCGTCCGGAGGAGCGTAATAAGTATTAAATTCCTGCATAATGTTGTCAGAGACAGTTATGAATAAAAGCGATCCCAGTATGCTTCCTTCCTTCTACTGATAACTGGAGCATAAGATGAGCTAACCGAGATATCACTATTTTTTAAATTGTTTTTTTGTTGTCTACCAGTGAGGTAAAATTTTATCCAACAATAACTAATGCTGCACACTCTGCACTTGTAGAATTTATCGAGCATTAATTCTATATCTATCAAATCAAAAGCTCTCCTCAAATCAAAAAAGAGAGACAAA